TAATTTAAAAGGTCAAAATTTTCAAAATTTGTGAATTCCTCCATTTTGAGAATTTTTAGAGCAATAAAGAAAATAAAATTCAAAGTTTGTATCCTGAATGCTGATTGGCTAGTTGTAAATACTAGACTGATTTTCATTGGATGTAGCTAGCAAGGGTTCGATTACAGCTCGGGAAAGGTGTGATTAATGCTCAAATCGCACTTCTGCAAACCAATGAAATGGCAGTATTTGCCACTGATTACAGGAGATAAATAATTAATCATGAAATTATCTTTTGGGTTTTGAAAAGCGGAATGTCGTTACAAATTAATTAGCCTTGGCAAAGAATTTTGTTTTGCAGGTTGGCCGTATAAAAAACTTCCCAATTCAAAAACTTCTATATTATGAATATTTTCAATAGACAACTCAGGTTACCCATTTGTTCACTATTCGCTTATAGACAACTCCGCCTCGTTGTCTAATTGTTAGTTGGTATACCATCGCACGAAATTCCACGATGATGACGTAGGCCTCTTCCTTGTTAAGGTGGGCGAAAATGTTTCGAGTGGCTGTTTACATACCTAGGCCTGTCTTCACTGTGTTGAGATAAGGAGAAAGCGCCAGTACGACAGGCATGCGTGCGCTATGGATTGTAGAAACGGCAAAGACGAAGACAAAGATGACAATTGCTCGAAATATATGAAGACATGGAAAAAGTCCTCACCAACCATGATTATAAACATTGACAAACTTGATCATACTGTGCATGCAGAAGTATATTTTATTACAAAATTCTCCAAATATAGGGGGTAAATATGTCCTCAAATATATTTTTCTCGAAATACTTGTATAAGAGATAAAATTAAAAATCCTAACGTTACTTTGCGGCACATTCGATTACATAAGTCAAAACAAACCACTAAGACAGCAAGTTAATCAATTTGTTGGACAACCGCTGCTTTGAAAAATAATCGCTAAAAATGGCTCGGTGAATGTAAGCTGTGTTAAATCTTTTCAAACAGGTAAACAGAATTGAACACGTTAAACGGTTAAAGGGCCCAAAACGTAAAGACACAAATTATTCTTTTTATTCCTCACTCTTCCCGGCTTCCGATTACGCCGATGACATATCGCGGCCGGAACAGCCTTAATAATTGTGATTTTAACGCAAAACCTTATTCTTTTATTCTTTAACTTCGGGTAAACATCGTGGAAAGCATTTTCGAAACCGGTTCTATATATGTTCAGGTTCATGCTGTGCAATTGTATAGGTAATCACACGGAATGGATTGCAATTAATGATTATAACACTACGAGTGCTTCTTGAAACATATGCCAAACGTCATTATGACAAAAGGTCTTATTTCACAAATACTTGATACGTTAAAATTTGCAAAAATAATATATAAGTCTTGCTGTTATCGGTCAGCCAGCAACAAACAGTTATTGGATGAGGTTTTTGTGATATCGGCTAGAATTATCAAAGTCGAGGCAAGATTGATAACCGATAAATATAATTCAATGACTGTATTATTTATTACATTGCATCTCATTAACTCTTTTCACATATAGTGATTTGACGCACAAAAATAATTAAACACCATAACAGGATACACGAAAACGCCCTTCGTTCATGTTGTTTTTGTTGTTTTTATTTGCTTAATTAAGACTGCCGCTTGCTATAAAATTACTTCAAAAACTCATTAATAATTCAGAAGCTGCAAAACACAAAGAAAAATCATAAGCGTGTCGTGGTTTTATATGTGATAAAAAATCACGTTAATTTACATAAACTTTTGCTTTGATTTTCTCGGTTTAGATAAAGTTTATTTTAAAAATTACTTCGGCAATGAACTCGTATAAGATTAGTCGTTTTTGAAGCTATTTAAAGCACTTGCAGTCGTGTTTTATCACATATAAAACACTCCGCTACGCGTCGTGTTTTATTTGTGATAAAACAGTCCTACGCGTGCTTTAAATAGTACATAACGCTGGCTCTACCTATACATAACTGCGTTATTTGCTAGTGAATAACTCATGGGTATGCTGCATGATTTCCATATTTAGTTGTAACCAGTTGCCCAATCAGAAGACATGCACGTAGTGATTACATGCAACAAGTCAATGAATAAGTTCCGTTTTTGAACGGATCCTATCGCAATTTAACAAAAAGGCTTTAAAGTCTCAGTCACGAATAAAGAGAAATAAAATAGGTCCAATTCAGTATCGGATATGCATGACATGCAATGTCCAATAATATGTTATAATAACATCCTAATAAGTAGCATGCACTCATCAGATCGTTTGGCCTAATATACAAATAACCATCTTTAGGTACAATTCTTTCCTCGTAAAGGTCATTGAAGATCGCAAAATTATTTTATAAGAACAAGATCAATTTTAGCAAGTAAGTCTTGTAACCAGGTTGAACAAAGGAATACTAAAATTGGACTAAATTACGTTTATCGTTTAACAATGGAAGACAAATTACTATCAAACGCATTGACGTATCAATCTAAAATACGAAATAAATAAATAATACTTTGGTTTTTGAAACCGAATAATGATTTGAATGCTCTTACGAATAAATTAACCTTTACAAAGTACTTTTCTGCAAAAAGAACGGTTTGTTTTATGCAACTTCCTAATTCATAAACTTCCTGTGTCAAAAACGTCCTAATTCATAAACCCTATTAATTTGAACAAATATGTTCAATTAAAAATTCATTTTTAAATCAAATTATTGCGCTAGGCAAAAATGTGAACATTAGGCAATTAAATTCCATATATTATCTGTATATGAATAACAAAACCTGCAGAATTACGTACAAGCTGTTGCACTGCTATTTATTTCTTGGGAAAATGAGCATGCACGTGTATGAGGATCTTCCTGCGTTGTATATGCATGACGTCATCTTCATTTCTCAAAGCCTTCAGGTCTACGCAGTTCGAGGTTATAAGAGTGAGTACCTGTGTTTGAATTGATGACAAGCTGCTGAAGTCGCTGGAAGTAAAAGCAAAAATATTCGAGCAAGGCTTTCCAGGTAAATGTGAGTTTGGATAAATATAAATAATTATATTAAATAACAGACTAGACAAATTCATGTAGCAGTCATGACTTGTGCTAAACTGGCCCGGCCTCCATTTCGTTGTAACAGTCGCGATATTATATATAAAGCTGAACGTTCTGATAGATTGTTTGCCAGTGTGTAGAAAGATAAGCTAGTTTAGTAGATGGAATTTTCGAGAAAATATTTGTATGCACTAGGCCTATATTTAAAAAACGAGCATTAGGTTTAAAGCCACGAGCGCAGCGCGAGTGGCTTTAGACCTAATAAAACACGACCTACGAGTTTTTTAAATGGCTTAAAAAACGTATGCATAATAAGTCAAATCTTTAAATAAAAATTTTATATAAAAATCTTTATATAAAAATCTTTATATAAAAATCTTTACATAAAAATCGTTATATAAAAATCTTTATAAAGTTTGCATAACAATGGTCTTTTGTTAAAGTGTTCTTTAGCTGGTATAAAGACGTAATGCACGTGACTAATTTCTTACTCAAGATTGGATAATTGCTTCATGAATTATTAATGAGTTTTTGAAATATATATATATATATATATATATATATATATATATATATATATATATATATATATATATATATATATATATATATATATATAATTTCGCTTACCTCAAAATTCCGCAACAGTCTGTTTCATCAGTAAAGAATCATCAGGCAGTATGACAAGTGTCGAAAATAGGACTGCTTATATGTGTTTTGGCCGGAATGTGGGTGTGTGTGGGTGAAACAAAGCATGCATTCATCTATTGTTTGCGTTGTTTACGCGGAAATGCCTAATCGAGTTGTGGGAGTGTATTGTTTGTGTTGTTTACGCGAAATTTCTTCCTATGTCTGCACGTAGATATAATTTCCATTCTTTTATTGAGTAAACAGTTTTGGTTTTCTTTCAAAATACAAAATTTTTCCTCTAAACATAAATTACATCGTTTTGATCCTCCCGTATACGAAATAGCGCGTTTCAAAATTTGCCAATTGATATTAAAATCTTTCTTACTATCTTTCAATGTCCAAATATATTTCGAAAGTTCAGTTTTGTTTGAGTGCTCTTTGTGCTCAAAAGTATAGTTATGGTTAGCCAAACGCTCTTTAAATGTAGTTGATGTCGTGCCAATATAATTCATGATCGTGTTAGGGTTGCTTGTTGTGACTGTTGCTATTCTACATTTGCTCTATCTTTATGATATTGAGCACTCTTTGCGTTTCATATACACAAACCTACTCGTATATATATATATATATATATATATATATATATATATATATATATATATATATATATATATATATATATATATATATATATATATATATATATATATATATATATATATATATATATAAATATCAAAAAATCAAAAAATCATAAATCTTCAAAGTAAATAAATTATATTTTTACGTTTCGGGGACAAGCCCCTTCTTCAGAATAACGCTACATCATCTCCGTGTGATAATGTTATTATTGGTGCTACTTTTAAAAGCCATGTTGAGGGGCGGTCTTTCTGCATTAATCATCGCTTCGATTGTGACTCGGAGGGTATAGTATATTTGATTAGTTGTAAATTCTGTGGGTGGCAATATGTAGGGAATACCATAACACCGTTCAGATTGCGATTTAATAACCACAAGAGTGCATTAAATAGATATGGGCGGGGGCAGAGAAATATTTGTGGGCAACAATTGTATGCCCATTTTTGGGGGGAGGGACATTCAGGTCTAAGTGATTTTTTAGTGCAGGTTATTGACGTCACGGACGTTAATAACCCCACTGAGAGGGAGAGCTTTTGGATTGAGAAACTTAATAGTTATGTCCCACGTGGGCTTAATTTAAGGGAAGAGGTTTAATTAATTTATGTATAGCTAAA